AAATGCTCATCCGGTGTGTGAGTGCAGATGAGGCTGATAGCTGATCTGTGTGTCGCATAATGGTTCTATACACTTGACAAATAAGAAAAAATATATAAATGTAATATTTGTTAATGCAAACTTTGTTTCTACTTCTTATCTAGAGCAGAAAAGTCTCCACATCTATTGACCGGTAGATTGTGATTGACGTTATGAGCCTCATAGTTGAGAAGGATCGTTCACAAACTCAACACCAGGACTCTGTGACAGTAAAAGAATGTAGCAGTTTTCCAAGGCGACACACAGAGCTATTTAAGGAAATGGAGTTGTCTTTTATTGTCACGCAATCCATGAATTTGCAAGTTTTTAAAAAGCATAGTTGCCACAAAGCATTTCTCAGCTTATTCTGGTGTCAAGTGGTGCAAGAAGTTGGTTTAACTTTAAATCAGCCTATGGCCACATACACAAAGGCCAGACAAAAAAATACAACCTGAAGTAAAAAAAAACACAGATTGTCTCTTTACCTGTCATCGTTATGATCTGTAGTTGGTGAATTCAAAACGTTGTTAAGTTCTCCGAGACGACTGCTGTTGTGATTTAGATCTATACAAAATGAATGGAATTGAATGAAATGTAATATATGTATACAGGTGAAACTTGTAGATTAGAATATTGTGCAAAAACGCATTTGTTTAAATAAACCATAAAATGTGAAACCAGTACTCCAAGCCTTTGTTTGTTGTAGCATTGATGATTATGGCTTATTGTTCTTTTTTGATATTTTTAAAGGCTTGATAAATCTCAGTTTGTGTGTAACATTTGGTTAGTTGTTTTTAAAACCTCACATAGACCTAAACATAATGAGAAGAGGTTTTACGGCAATCCTATAAATCCAATTTGTTCGTTGTTGGTAAAATGTATAAGAAACGCCATATTCACTCAACCTTCTGGATCCAAACAACCCCTTGATTATCACAATAATTACAGCCATAATTCAATTCTTTATTTCCAGTCGAAATGCTTATTATTCCAGTTTTTCAGCGACACAGCTCTATTGTTGTGCTTGTCAAAAAGGGTACACAGTGTTCATTACTCACAGCCTGTCTGCGCCGTTCAGAGTAAAAACTCAGGCTTCCATCGGCACACTGTAATTTCTCAAACTTTATCCTGACGCCCATTTCTCACAGAGGGTCATCGAGTTTCTATCTGCAGAATATAGATACATTTTAAAAAAATCTGAAAAGCCTGGTGCCAGCTGCTGTGTACTGCAGCGGTGTGTGCAAACAGACTATTATACACTAGACCACTTCTGCTGCAGGCGGACGTCACATTATCTCTGTCCTGTGTGGGATTTAGTCTCTTAAATGCGGTGACATTTGCAGGCAGAGCTGAGGAATACTTGAAAATAATATTGTTTAAAGGCTGTGAATATAAATGAATGAATAACTTTAAGATTAAGAGATCTTTTATTCATGGGGAAATGTCAGTGTTGCATCATAAGTTACTGTAGGAATGAGGAACACACAACACAAGATAAGTGAATATATTAACCCTTTAGGCACCAGCGTTTTGTTGGAGAAATGTATTATGAAATAGACAATACATAAGAAATAGACAGAGTGAGATAGTGGACGGCATAATAGTAGTAGTAGGCGCGTTTGTGGGAAGCTAAAATATAATCTGCATGTGTTATTTAAAGCAGAGGTCTCCGAGCTGTAGCTGGGAGCTGCCAGTAGCTCACCACCCCCTTCCCTTGTCATCCTAAACTTTTTTTCTTTGTTTTTTTTTTAAATCCACACTTTACTGCCACAAACTGCTGTTTTCCTTCCAGTTCTTGCTCCGCTCTAACTTCGCTCTGATCAGCAGCTCTGATTGGTCAAAGCACGGCCGAGCCCCTCTGTGCACGTGCATGAGAGCCACACGCACACGTACTGTATTTGGCGCAATGCATCATGGGAGATAATCCACTGCGCAGAACCAGGAGGAGCAGACGGTGATCGTCTTGACCATGTCTACATGTCTGTGTGGATTGAGTTGCAGCCATGTGATTGGCTGATTAGCAATTTGCATTTAGGTGGAGTTGGATAGGTGTACCTAATAAAGTGGCCGGTGAGTGTGCATGTCACAGGCAGGAACATTCTGGTAACAGAATGGTGATAGTGATGACTTTATTAGACCACTGTTTGTGCGTATTACACACAACCCCTTTAATGTAGCATGTAGAAGTGTTTGTCACAGGTTAATGAAAACCAAAGAACCATCACCTGCAAATTCTCCACTCTTATAAATGCACGGCTCATTGTTGCTTTGTATTTGTCTCTCTTTGCCTCCGCGGAATTATTATCTGGAGATGCAAGGGACATTTCCAGGCAACGCTCGGGAAGAAAATGATAAAAAATAATGCAGACTTGTAAATGAATGACAAGAAGAATTATGTGAGGGAATAGGAGCAGAATTTCTGGTCCTCGATTTAGTGCAGACCATTGTAGATCAAACGGATTAGCTACAGATTGTTAAAACAAATGTATCATGATAAGAAATCCATGACAACCATGTAAAGTCCTCCGAGACGAGTTCTGTTGTGATTTAGGGCTACACACAAATACATTGCATTGAATTGAATAGAAATGCATATTAAATAAGCTTTTTTATCAACATTTGAATTGCCTTTGTGGTTTGACTTTCAGAAAAAAGAATAGTTTTGTGGTTTCAGTGTTATTATGAAAACAAATGAGCTCATAAAATGTTTTGCGGCGGATTTAACAGCGAGTTCCTTCTGCAGTCCCTGATTACATGAATAAATTATACAAGGAATTAAGTGTTAAGAAAAACTGTGTCCACTCCGCTCCATACATTTCAAAAGCAATATTTTTAGCCTCATTCGCACTGAGCAAAAACACTTGAATTTCACCCAAAAACATCAGAGTCGCCTCTTCCTTACACACAGAATGACCCAGTGTAAAGCTATGCAGGGCACAACCTGGTTAGTACTGTGATGGGAGACCTTTGGAAACGGCGATCAGCAACACACTTCTCCCACATTGCCTCGAATGAGTCTGGTGAGTGAGTGAGTGAGTGGTTGGCAGTGGTTGGTAGTAGAGCCCTGCACGGGCCAATTATCTGGGCCCGAGCCCGGCCCTGGCCCGGGCTCGGGCCCAGACAGAGGGGATCATCTGTATGATGCCCCCGATGCTGCAACACATCTGCACATTACATAAGTAATGCTATGTGCCGTCAATGACAACACTACACAGAACAACAAACACTACAGCGTGATAGAACGCTATATTCAGTGGGTGCGTTCGTAAATGTATTCTGCCGCTCTGAAAATGAAGAGCCCGAGCCCGGCCCGTGTCCGAGGTCATTATGTGGTCATCGGCCCGAAGCCCGGCCCTCGGGCTGTCAAGCCGTCGGGGCCCTCGGGCCAAGGGCTCAAGTGCAGGGCTCTAGTTGGTAGGGGTTGGAGAGGCACAGACTGGTTGCCTTGCTTCTGTCAGTCTGTCCTGGGGCAGCCCTGGCTACAGTAGTAGTTTATCACAACTGTGTGTGGAGTGAAAGAATAATGATAATGTCCAATGTATAGAGATATCTCACGTGACGTCACGATGCCGCGAACTCGCGGGGCATCCGCCATACTGGAGGACAAGCAAACGCTGTATGATAGTGGCGTGCACCCGGAACCGCATAAACATGTTCAAAATTGTTGCCGTTTTTGGCTGCAGCAAAAGGAGAGACAGGGAAAATAAGTTGTGTTACCGACTGCCAGCCGTCACACGGCTCAAAAAACAGAAGAAATCTCAAAGAAACGAGAGAGAAATGGCACAACCATACGCAACAACAAAAAACTAATAGCCACCAGAGCGCCCGAATATGCTCGGATCATTTCATTTCTGCTAAGTAAAATCAATTTGATGGCGGATTTAGTGTTATTCCGAAACAAACAGAAGTTTAAGGATAAAACATATCTGTCTGACTGAAACGTGGGGTTGCTCCATAGACTGTAGCTTAGCTTGTAGCATAGCTGGGGGTCGGCCCGATGTTCCATGGTGTAACAATAAACACATTAAATGTTAATCGGAGAATACATTATACATATACATTCTTAATACACGTGCACAGAGGTTTTCAGAATTTTCTATTCACGTTTTCATGAAAAAACACTGTTTTAATGCGACAATATGCGACCGTGGTAAACCTGGATGTAACGATAAACATTAATAATACATTTTAGGACGCATTTCCAGAGGATCTGATTCATGAAATTAGGTTGAGTATATATTTGGGTCACTAACTGCTGAAGTTTAAAATTCTCTGTTCAGTTTTCATGTAGTTCGAGAGAGTTCTAGTTTTGAACGTCCAGTTATAGATAGCTAGCAGGGCTGTTACTCGCCGAGGTTATCCTCCAGTATGGCTGCCGTGGCTGCTAGTCACGTGACCGTATGGATCCCTCTATAAGATGTACAGAATATAAACCAGATCAGACATTATACATTTATAGAACAATAAACTCAAACTGGAATAAAGGCCGCTGCTCCATGTGGGTCAGAGGAAGATGGTTTGCGAACTACTCACAAGTCACACACGGGACAATACTTTATATATTGACACGTTGCATTTCAACGCGGTATGAAAACACTTTTATATAAAAAAATAAGTAAATGTTTAAATTAGGTTTGCCCCATTTGAACAAATATACAACCCTATTGATGAATCTATATTAAATATTGTGAAGAATAATTGCGATATAAGTGTAAATATTATAAAAATAAATAGAGATGTGTCTATGTTCTTTTTAAATCAAAGACAAATCTAAAACGTTTGCTACATCTAAAAAATGAATTAAATAATACAGATATTAATCTAAAATCCATGCTTTAGAACAGCTCTCCGTGAAAGTATTGAGATCAGTGACATGTTTTGGCAGCGTGCACAACAGAATAAACATTGTGCATAAACAAGATCCTTGTATTCATGTTTCTGTCTGTTGCCTCCTCTCACCTCCTCCTCTGCTGTGTCTGCAGGAGTACCAGGGCTCGTCGGTGCTGGGGCAGTTTGTGACGCGCTTCCTCCTCAGAGAGACCTCCACTCAGCTCCAGTCTCTGCAGTCGTCCCTGGACTGTGCGGTGGACGCCGTGTTGGACCAGAGCGGCTCCGGGAGGAGGGTGCTGAGGAAACCTGAAGACCTGCCCCTCCCTAAGAGCTCCAAGCGCACAGGGAGACGCATCCAGAAGAACATGTGCCTGTCCCCCACTGACCCCTACTCTGGCATGCTCACTACAGGTAGATTATATATTTACATATACATAATATGTTATATACATCTGATTGTTTAAGTTTTTGGAATATTGACTTTAAGCCTCGTACTTCTTCCCTTGCAGTCGATATGCTCGCATATGATATGTTATACCTCAGAGCTCATTCTCTCAGGAAATCAACAACATCAATCAATCAAATTATACTTATAAATAAAAGAAATGGGTAAAAACAATTCCTCACATGAACATGACCCCTCCACCCAGACCCACCCCAAACTACATATATTATTAAATATACATTCACATGTACCATACACACACACACACACTCACGTGCACACACACACACACACATGTACACACACACACATCAACATCAATTACATGACTTCCAAAAACAATAGTTATTTCATTATAACTACAACATTCTAAAAAAAATAATCTTTGCCTCATTAGAGCAGCGGTGATGGAGCGGGAGGTTTGTGGATTTAGAGAAAAGTGATTTGTGATCACAAAGAAGACACAAATCCCCACAAAATCTGACCCTTGTGAAAAGTGAAGACGCCCTGAATTTAAAGTGTGATTCGACCCATTAGTTAGGTCCATTCGTTATTCTGACATTGTGGTATTATAACGTGTGTGTGTGTGTGTGCACAGGGGTGAGTGTGGAGCCAGAAAACCCCTGGGGGTCTCAGATGGAGCGCCTGGAGGAGCTGGTGGACAAACTGGACTGTGAGGTCTGTTAATAACAGAATTATCATGAGATTTCTTGACGCCACTTTTTTAACTAATTTAATCTTTTATAGCTGGTGGTGAACAGAAGGGCCGATGGCACAGACTGGTTGCCTCGCTTCTGTCAGTGTGCCCCACGGCAGCTGTGGCTACAGTAGTAGTTTATGACCACCGTGTATAGAGTGAAAGAATAATGACATATATATGAATATAAAGTGCTTTAAGTGTCCAGAAAAGCGCTATATAAAACCGATCATAATTATTAAATTATATTAAAAGCAACTTGATGTAGCTCCTCATGATCTTAACTTAAGATGCAGACACAATGAACACAATTCTCATATGAATAGTTCACATTGGAACTATTGGATACTCATAAGCACCATGTGGGTCATTTGGGCTGAGAGCAGTGTAACGCGGCCGTGCTTTCCCTGGATTTTTCTCTATATTCTGTTTATAATGATGATGGTGTTGGAGGCATGTTCTTACTTGTGTCCTGTTGTGTGTGTTACTGTAGTTTTCTTACAGAGAAATGTTTTCTTTTCTAGACACCACAACTGGAACCTCTGCAAGAAGACACATTAGCCGGAACGTACAAATCAGTGAGTGAATCTTGTCCACATGAGATTGAAGACACATGTTATACGGATGTGGGCTACAACCATTGACCGTATGTTAGGAGTGGACTCACTGAGTGGAGCCTTTTTACTTTACGGGCATCACTCCTAGTATAATGGTTGCTAAGGGAAGCTGGAGTTTCCTCCATGAATGAAGGCATCTGATTTGTCAATCCTTATCTGGCTCATACCTGGATTTAAAAAGACAATATTCAAGTCAATTCAAATCAATTCAAATAACTTTATTATCCATGAAGAACTTCATTTGCAGATGGAGCACCAGTGGAGAAACATAAAAACACATAAACACAAGTTATATTATACAATGAAAGTGCAGAAATGCAGTTTAAAATACACAAAACAGATCATAATCTGCTTCAGTCGAAACAGACCATCTCCCAGTCAGCTGTTTAAAAGACGGATTGAGGTGGAGAGGAAGCTGGATGTGGCCCTCATTTTTATATACTTCATTGCGTCTTTGCACACATCTCAGCATGATCAAAGCAAAATTCCAAATAACAAATTAGACACCCTTTTTTTTTAGGCCCTAAAGGATCAGTGCGTCTCAAACGGTAACTGAGATAGATTGACTTAGATTGAATTGAAAATTAAACTCACTTTTCAATGTAAGTCTAAAGGAGCCAGATAGAGTTTGAGAAAACTTTGTCCAGAAGCATTTCTCTACTGGGCTTCATTGAGCTAGGGAGTCAGCAGTGTCTATCTATATACAGTCAACACATTTTATACTTTTATCCCTTCATGTGATTTCTTCCAGAACATGTTGCTGGTTCAGAGACAGATGTCGGTGAAGGAGAAGGAGGTGGAGCCGTTTCAGGAAGCTCTTAAAATCTACACAGACGCCACCAGCAACCAACCAGACAACCTGCAGTAAGTAGTCACAGCACAGTTACCAACAAGTCATGGACAAATCTGGACAAATCAAGACATTCCCCCAAAAAAATCAGATGCGGGCTCCAAACAACCCGCCTTTCAACCCGCCTTGGGACCCAGTCTATCAGTGGGAACTCTCTGACTAAAAATAGCAGTAATTTAGACTGTAATGAAGCCAACTGTTGCTTACACGTGGGTCAGAGGAAGACGGTTATAAAACTAGACACAAGTTACACGGGGGACAATACTTTGGATAATGACAGCGTAACAAGCCTTTATAAACTTCATTTTGTTTTTATTTCATATGCAAAAACACATCTCTGTTTTGAAATGTTGAAATGTCCAAATATTGTATTCCTCTAGGTACAATCTTCAGCATATTCTGTTTTAACGGCAGTACACTTGAAAATCTATTTGTATGGCACTAAAATATACCTGGCTTTTCACAAAACTACTTGGTAAAGAGAAAATTGTAAGCTTTTCCGGTTTGTTTCCATGGCACTTATCTGTTTTTGCATATATGTGTATTGCTCCACGTGGATGTGAGTTCCTGGGGTCCCGGGACTCATTATTTAAAAGTTAGATAGTAAGATATATAAACCCAGGAAATATACAACCAATGACTATACGTAGAATTGGCTGATGAGGCGTTTCCCATGGCTGTTCTTCGTAGCAAATGTTTGAAAATAATAAAAAAAAACAAAGGAGGTTGTTCGACCATCTTCTGTACTTCAGTTAGCAGGTTTTCCCACGTTTTGTTTATAATCCAAAGAACGCGTCTTTGGAATGAGACCGAAATGTCGGGAAACCTGCTAACTGAAGCACAGATGAATAATCCCTGTGCGACACACTTAAGAATAATTAAAAAAACGATATTGGATAAACGCTGATTATCCCCAAACCCTGTAGTTTTACTGTACGTTCAGTGTTAAAATAGCACAGTTGCAGTAAGGAAGTCCAGTTTGTGTACAGACCAGGATCACAAAGCGCTTCACATTTAAAAAGAATAGAAGATAAAAAGAATAGAAGATAAAAAGAATAGAAGATAAAAAGAATAGTTGATAAATGTTGATTGTAAACTGTTATCATATCATGCTCTCTTCAACTTATCAGAAAACATGATATCTTTGGCATACTTGTCAGAAAGAGCCTTGAAAGAGACGTTTTGAGCTGAGAGCTGATTGATTGATTGAGGGCGGTCCTCTATTTTTCCCTTTTCTGTCTGAAAAAGCTGATCTAAAGATGTGACAGAGGCCAAAAAACAAACAGTACATGTCAAAAGATACAAGCAAAGAGGAACTGGTTAGATGGATTTGAAAGTTAAGAACCCGAGCTTTAATGTCAGCTTTTGGATGCCTAAAGAACAAGTTTTCATGTTGGGTAGATCAACGTTTCTCTGCACTGTAAAAAATGCAACTCAAAATTGTTCACCTTACTAAGATTTGTGCATTCACTGACAAAAAAATTGCCAGTTGGAGCTTTAACTGCCTGTTGTGAGCCACTTGAACTCACTTTCACAAGTTTCTGATGAAAAGTTTGTCTTATTTGATATATTAAGTTGATTTTACTTTGAAGTTGTAGTGAACTTCTGAAAGTGAGTTCAAGTGGCTCACAACAGACAGTTCCAGTTCCAACTGGAAATTTTATTGTCAGTGAATGCAAAAGGTGAACAATTTTGAGTTGTCGTTTTTACAGTTCACCGAGCTAGAGTGAGGTCAACTTATCTGCGTTTGCTCATTTAAATATTTGTCATGGCAACCAGCTGCATTCAACATTTTGAAAAAACTTATTTGACCAAAAAAATCATTGTATTTATTTTTACCAACCGTAATCGACAGGGCCAAGCCAAAGTAGCCCTACTGTATGTATTACCTGGGTCAGTCTTAGAAACTTTAGTTTCCCCTCTGGTTCACAGTGTGTGTGGCACGGTGACTGAGTGGATAGCACTCTCGCTTCTTGACACGAAGGTCCTGGGTTCGAATCCCGGTCGGAACAGGGCCTTTCTGTGTGGAATTTGCATGTTCTCTGTGTCTGCATAGGTTTCCTCCGGGTGCTCCGGTTTCCCCTACCCAAGTAACCTTGGTCTGTAAAATGCGGTATATAAATAAACATCATGATGGTTTGATGTGGGGGATAATTTAAACTCAAAATAGTAAGTTATTGTAGGGGACAGTAATCTTACTTAAAAAAGTAAGTTTTTACAGACTTGAAATTTCCAGTAACTTGAATTTAAAAACAGTTAGAGTTAACAGTTACAGTGCATTCAATCTCAAACCTTCTCCATAAATCCTCTCATCTCTTCTGTCTTGCAGCATCTCGGTCCAGAACCTTCCGGACAGATCCTGCTTCATCATGTACGAGTTCTGGCAGGACCGTCTCTCCTGGATGAGGTAGGCCGATGGCTGTGGCTGCTGTGAGGCTGAGGTGCTTTTTTAGAGACATACAACTCAACATGGACTCAGACTTGTGTTTTTGGGACCTCCGAGTCTCTATGGTATTGGTTATAAAATCTGTTACGCTGCATATTTCTAAGTCCTCCCCATGTCTCCTCCTGCAGCACGTGCTCCTGTCCAAAGCTAGAGACTGAAGATGTGACCAGTCTCACCGGAGAAACATATACTGTACTGTACATACTGAATCCTAAATTGCTGTGATGGAAATTAAAGCTCATCTGAAACTCACTAAATGAAAGAGTAAATAGCAGTGTCCATTTTGTCTGGCCAAACAGCATCTCTGGACAGACAGTGTCATGAGTTTTGCTAAGTTAAAATATTAGGGTATAGTTTGTCTGATTTAATTTCATGTAGAAAAAAAATAAAATCTGTGGCATCGTAAATTTAATCTGTATAAAACATTGAGACTGTGACCCCGAGGCAGAGACTTGACTTTTCACCTGACTTGGACTTGTGGGACCAGAGATTTGGACTTGACTTTGGACCCCTGGGCAGAGAGTTGGACCTAAATTGGACTCTGGTGTGTCCTCAGCTACCTGCAGTCCCCCATCAGTAAGACCTTCCAGCGCTGTGTGATCGACTCGCTGGAGGAGCCCGAGATGGTTTCCACGATGCTGCTGCCAGGTATGAGAGGACCCAACGCAAAAGTCACTTCATCTATTTTTGAAGCTGGGGTACAAAACATGCCAGTGCCTTTCTCGTAACAGAGAGTGTTATTGTAAGAATGAGCTCTGAGAGTCACCGTTTGATGGTTCGAAATGAGATCTGAGCTTTGGCTTTTCTGTGTGAAAATGGTAACACAATAGTTGAGTGGTTAGAACTATTTCTTCTCAGCAAGAAGGTCCTGGGTTCAAAACCAGGTTGGAGCAGGGCCTTTTACGGTGGAGTTTGCATGCTCTCCCCGTAACTTCTCTGGTTTCCTGCAGGTGCTCCAGTTTCCCCTACCAGTAAAAAAATGTGCTTTAACTCCCCTCTTTCTGGGGCCAGGACTCCTCTGAAAAAGAGATTCTGAAAACTCAATGGGACTGACCTGGTTTAATAAAAGTCAGTAAAAAGCTGATTTAAAAAAAAAACAAAATACTGTACATACATGTGAAAACTATAAATAGAGGAGAACTATTGTACATGTTTTTAGTGGTGGGGCAACTGCGGAGGGGGAGAACATGCAAATTCCACTCAGAAAGGCCTCATCTGGAGGTAGAATCAAACCCAGGACCTTCTTGCTGAGAAGCGTGAGTGCTAACCACCACTGCTGATTATTAAAATGTGTTACATGAAATCCATTACATAATTCCATATTCTGTTGTGTGAAAGTTAGATACCCCAGCTTTAATACAAAATGTGAGCTTTCAGCTGTGTCACAACATATCGTTAAAACAGACCCGGAGTTGTCTGCATTTTTTCCACGCTAACCAAACGCTAAAAGAAACTGTTACATTATGACGTCAATGACAGCGGCACGGGGGCTGAGCAGAAAGTCCTGGGATCAAGTCCCAGTCAGTGCAGGACTTTTCTGAGTGGAGTTTGCATGTTTTCCCTGTGCCTTCCATTTGTGGAGATAAGCCCCTGGGTGCTGCAGTACGGCCACCACTGATCCTGACAGAGGCCTATGGGTCAAATGCAGAGAACAAATGTTATACAAAAACAAGAAAAAAGCATAACATACCAATTACATACTCATAAATAATATTAAAGATAATTTAACGACCACAGAACTCACACGGGCGGCACGGTGGCTGAGTGAGAAGGTCCTGGGTTTGAATCCCAGTCGAAACAGGGCCTTTCTAAGTGGAGTTTGTAGGTTCTCCCCGTGTCTGCGTAAGTTCCCTCAGCTTGCTCTGTTTTACCCTACCACTAAAAACATGTACAATGGGTCTGGCATGTGCCTCCTGTAGGCGACCTCACTCCTGTGTCTGTGTGGAGCGAGAGACAAATGCCCACAATGGTAAAGTGCTTTGTGATTCTGGTCTGTGAAAGGCGCTATATAAACAAAAACTTAAACTTCTATAGCTTCAAATAGCAGATCATTATTGCTGTCGTTTTGTCAGTCGTGTGATTTATGTTTGAATTCAGCATGTTATGAATATCCTTTGGGATGAATACACAAAGAAAAGGTTTAATAAGAAGATACATTGTAGTTTGTTTTGGTCGTCTCTAACAAAAGACAGAGGGACAGGTCGGTGCAATGAGCCGGCTTCAGTCTGAGAGGATGTTGTGGCTGTAGCTGTGCGCCCGCTCAGACGTGGGCGAGTGGCTTTGAAGCTTTTGTTTTCAGGCCGAGAAGACGTGACACTTGAGTTCCAACTTGGAGAGTGTATTTCTTAAATGTAAACTAGAGAAAGTCTTTCCGCTGGCACATCATTAGAGTTGATGTTTTGTTTGATTGTGTGATTCAAGGCAAACCTGCTTTAAAGAACAGGTTTGCCTGTTCACATGGGGACAATACTTTTGTTTTGAAAGTCAGAAAACTGATCTAGACAGAAGATGAGATGAGACAAAACTTTATTGGAGAAATGTACATGTTATGGCATAAATGTGACATGGGTAAGAAGCAATAAGTAAGTAATGTTTATTTATATACAGTAGGGCATTTTACAGACCAAAGTCACCCAAAGCACTTTACAATGTTCAGATATTGTTCCAATCATTCCACACACGGTGATGACAGAAGCGAGTCGCCGAACAGACTGGACCATCAGCTCCAATCAACACCATCCATTCACTCTCTCATTTACATTCATACTTAATGTGCATATTATTAGTGGTAGGGGAAACCGAAGCACCCGGAGGAAACCTAGTCAGACACGTGGGGAACATGCAAACGCCACTCAGAAATGCCCTGGTCCGACCGGGATTCAAACCAGGACCTTCTTGCTGAGAAGCGAGAGTGCTATCCACTCAACCACCGTGAAAACATAATTTCTTCAATAGAGAAATAATTACGTTGTTTTATTTGTTATTATTGTACGATTACAGTGATAAAGTGACTATAGCAGTGCAAGTTCAGTCCTAGTGCAGAAGAAGGTTCCAGGTTTGAATCATGTTTGGGCCCAGGTCTTTCTGCTTCTCCATGTCTGTAGAGGTTTTCTCCAAATGCTCCGGTTCCCCCATTACCCAAAATATGCACCATGTTTGGGGTAAAACCTTCCAGCTCTGGTCCTGTACAGAGAGGCCCTAGTTGAATGTTTGAGCCGCAAGTTTCAAGTAGCGTGGATGAAGCTAAAACAACTCCAGGTCTAACGCTGGAACATAAAACACAGATGATTTGGGCCTTTTTGTGTTTCTGTAATTATGTATTATAATGGGACCATGTGTAGTAATAAACAGCAGTACTGTAAATACACCACATGTATATTTCTATAATATTCATCTGTCCTCACACAGTCGCATCAACCAACTTGTGTTTGGACTTAAAGGGATGTCTGTAATGAATTGAATTTGAAAACTCTCTTCACGGTTTCAAATGTAACTGTTGTAGGCTTTTTAATAATACATAAATAATAAATAGTAAGGACCCATGACTTAAAACAAAAAGAAATACGTCCCTGCATTAAGTCAATTCAAACTCATCACAAATACAATGTGGCATCAAAACAACAGATTATTATGAATAACTCTTTATTATTTCATCTACAGCTTCTTGGTGGATCATGAACAACAACAACTGACACGGCCCGATCCGAAGCAGCGTCTGAGAAATCCCGAACCAACCCCAGACTTCTTCTCCTCCTTCTTTCTGTTGCTCTGTTTTTGCTCATTGAGGTCCAGTTTCCCTCGCGGCATGAATGGAATTGGGTCAAAAAACAGATAAATTGCGAGACGGACAGCGAAAAGAGCAGAGTTTGTAATGCAATACTAGCCATCAGGACGCTCCGGAGTCGTGTTTGCATGGATAATAAACCTGTAGATTTCAAAAGTATAAGGAAAAGTTTGGTGTGGTGGACTTAAAGGTGATGTCAGCTACTTCGAGTGAATTTTATTTTTATAATAATGCCTATTTCTGATCAAGGGACACTGTACAATCATGAACAGTAAGTCATTTTCAACAATAATATATCTTTTTAAATCCCTCTCATTAGTATAACTACCACCAGTAAGATTTGCTGGAGGACAACAGTTAAACCAATGACAGGGATTGGAATGGATTTCGACCAATCAGGCGGCTTCATAGGTGCGCATGGGTGGGTCTAACCAGTGCTTGTTTTCATAAACTCTCTCTTCACGGTTTGAAAAGTATCTGACGTTCACTTGTATAGGCCTGATTTCTGTCCCTTCTTGTCTGACACATTCTTCCATTTTAATAATTCACTGCGATGACTTTCAATAGACAAAGATGACTAAAACTTTGAATAGACAAGCGCGAGTCTGAGTGTGACGGAAAGCAGAGTGAGTTAGCTACAATATTTAAACGGGACTAATTAAGCTCAAAACTTCACAAAACAAACTTACAATACTGTCTTTTTAAATAAATATGTTCATGAATGGGAGACCTTAATTGTAATATTAATGGGGCATGGTCATGGATGCATTATACTATCTGGAAAGGATCTAGCTAGCTTAACGCAGACCAGCGCTGCCCTCTACTGTCAGCTCTGATCGGTCAAAACACCACACATCTCCTCGTCCTGCAGAAATAGAACCACTGCACCAGAGGCTGAAATACATCCATAACAAAAACATTTCAGACTCCACGATGAGACCATAGCACTTGGAAAAGCAGACATCTTGGGTCGTCCGGGACATGGGCGTGGTTTAAAAGTCACATGGAAACACGACTGCTGCTGTTCTTTGGGAGCAAAGATTTGAACGACTTTTTAGATGCATGTTTTCTAAATGCTAGTTTGTTTTTTAGAGTAGACATTGCAACAGGCTGTCATCCATCAGCCACTGCTCCATAAGGACCCGTGCATTCCCCTTCGGTCACGTGAATCAGTGCTTGTTGAAACCTTTTTTTTAAATGTTTTATTAAAGGACTGTTGAGAAGGAAAATAACATATTTATCCATATTTCACTCCAGCACTTTAGATAGACAGATGAATGGACCTAGAAAGTAGATTTAAGGCAGAGATTCTATGTAGATTGTCTATTAAATAAGTATTGAAGTATTATCAATTCAAATGTAGCTGGATATTATTATTATTATTATTATTATTAAGAAATAGCAAGAATTGTGATATTTCTCTGTGTGTGTGAGTTTTCAGGGAGGTTTAAAGGCACAGTGAACACTCGTAGAAAGCATTATTTTACGGAGAAATGAAATGTAAGTATTAAACATAGGACATTATTGCGGTTGGTGTTGTGTGATCGTACAGCCAGCTCCATCACAAAGTGCTGTTCTGAATCAATGTGTATTTTCTTGTATTTATTTGACAAAGAAAATAGTTGTGATGTGAAAACCTTTTCTTTAGCATGGAATAAAGTTCATTGTAAAAAAAAATAAAGTTGCTGCTCTCTTTTGTCCAACAGTGTTTGATTTTACTTGGTAAAAAAAATCAATCTGTTTGTTTTTATTGAATGCTGCTGATACTGCTCCTTTTTGGGATTTCATATTTCATGGTGCACATAATGTTACCAGAAACAGAATCGTATTTTTGCCTGGAATCCAATGTATCACATTGAAGGGACTTTATGTGTTTATTTTTTTTTAAGAAAATGCTTTTAATTTCGAAATGACAAAACAGATAACAGGTCACAAGTATAAATCATATCTGACCTTTTCTGAACAAATGTTTAAAGTGCTAAATCAAAAATACATAGTTGGAAATGATGGACAATATTTATTTTTACAAGCAGATTAAAAGGTCATTTAGTTTTGTAATTCAACTTACAATGTGAAACTAATATCTGACTCATCTCAGAACATTTTAGAAAATGCACAATGCACAAAATCATCAACATTATTACAAACATTGATTTGAAACACATCTATCAAATTAAGCTAAATCTTTGTACAGATAGTTTAAGTTGTCAAGGCAGACAAACCAGTTCTAGTCAGTGTGCCGGTGGGTCTCCATCTTTAGCGCAGTACAGACAGTAGGAATGAGGAGCACACAGCACAAGATAAATGAATAATAACTCTATACTAAAATTAAATTAAATTAAATCTCTATATAGCATAAAAAGAAGCAGTATAAAATCTCCATCTTTAGCATAATAAATAAGGGACAACTGGACTCAGTGAAGTGACATTAAGTCACAGTTTATTGCACAGGTGAGATCAGGTCGGGAGTGTTTGCTAGTCCTCATAGTTCGTTGTACAGTCTGACAGCAGCAGGAAGGAAAGACCTGCAGAACCTCTACTTC